TGAAGTGTGTGTCTGTGGGTGTGTGAGCGTCTACATGCCATGCAGAAGCTACAGATATAAAGTGAGCACCAGAAGAGGGGGAGGAAACCATGCAACCACTTTCCTCCATCCATCTGTCAGTCAGCCCAATGATTCTGTTGTCACCCTGGCATCCTGGCTCTGCCCATTAGCTTGCTAGTTGGACTGGCATTTAGACTGGCAGGACACACATAAGCAGTAGCCAAAGGGTCTCCTGCCTGGCTAGCACCAAACTGATGTAAAACAGTAGACAAACCCACAGGAGCACACGGCAACATGCAGCAGCTGCCTCCTCCAATCACGTCACTCTGGCCTAATTTGATTCCATCTCGACAGGATTCAATTACATTTTATTAATTTTGGCACAGTGTAACTCCACAGAGTTTGATTCAATCTCTGGCAATGCAATTTAACTAGATGCAATCAGATTCACTTGAATTGAATGAATTTTTAAACATAATCTCTTCCGCCGTTCCTGCCTCTGTATAAATCTTCTCACTGCTCACTCCATCCTTCCCAATTTTCCCTTTCTGGGATTCAGAATATAGAATATAATGAGCGGCGCCAAAGTCTTCCTACAAGAGGACCCCGACTGCTTAGTGTATCTACATTTTCTTGGCTTCTGGTTGGGAGAGACTCCCCGAGGAGAACATTAGTCACTTCCATGATGATAATGGGTAATTTGAGTGAAAATAGACTGAGGTTGGCAAAGGGGCATTATTGAACATGTTGCTGTTTTCACTCCGAGCATAGCAAATAACTGAAGGTTTTTCAAAACCAAAAGCCAAATTTGATCTACTGCAGCTTGTTGTTGGAGCGTCATCTCTCTTCTCAGCACCTCTGATATCACCTGAGTTACTTAAAAGCCCAAAATGTGTCATCACCAGACAATACGTCTACAAATAAGTATGAATATATTTTCCGCACAGTTCTTTTAATCACTGATACTAATCCTGTTAGCTGCGAGCTGATGACTGTACAGCTTGTACACAGAGGTTCCCAAAGCTTCCCTTGAGCAAGGCAGTTCATTTCTGTCAAGGCAATCCACTAAAGCTGACCTCTAAATTTCCCAGTGAAGTAGTTATGTACATGGATGGATTACGAGATAATGGATCCACTGGGCACAGACATGTTAAAGCGTAGTCTTTTTGTGTCTCTTTGTAGTCTTTTTGTGGTCATTTTCTATCTCTGTGTGGTCGTTTAGAGCCTCTTTGTGGTTGTTTCGAGTTTCTTTGTGGTAGTTTTGAGTCTTCTTGTGGTTGTTTTTTGTCTTTTTGGTTATTCTGTATTTTGTTGTAGTCATGTTGCATCTCTGTGGTTGTTTTTCAGTCTCCTTATGGTCATTTTGGGTCTCTTTGCAGCGATATTGACAAGAACAGTATTTTCAAACAACGGCTCTGCTAGGTAGGCCCATTCAGTCTATGGGTACGTATAGATGATTAGGTTATTTAAGTGAAATATACATTAAGTTCTTGGAACTGCTGAAACAAGGCATTTGGACAAAGTTTTAGTCACACAGCCTCTGTTATTACACTTTAATAATTGAATAGTTCTACAGTCTTTGAGTTTGGAAATAGACTGGAACATATGCAGGTAGGAGGAAAAATATGGCGATGTCATATGTCAGAACGACTGCTCATTTCCTTCCAGTCTTATTTCTGCCATTTCATTCCCCACAAACTGACAACAACCCTGCAGCACAGATGCTTGGCAGTGCTTTTCGCACATATCCAGGTGTTTAGAATATAACACTCTCCTCCTGTCTTACATGTGGCGTACAAATTCAATGCTGAGGCCCGAAGTCGGCGGATTGAGTGCTAAAGGGCACACATGAGAATTCAAAAGCTTGCGGGCAAATAAATAGCATATCCATAACACTGAGATTGCCCTTTGTACAATTCAGAGGCCTGCTGACTCTAGTCGTTCCTTAAATTGATTTCTCATATGCGGCTGCCTTGAGGGGACGATTCCATTTTCATATATACACTGGCTCTCTATATGTATGCTCTCCATCCTAGTCTATTAATCTCATAATGCAATCAATTTCACCTTGCAGGACCACGACACAGGCCATTTCTTTTGTGAACAGCTTTGCATGTCTTTAATAGGAGTTTGTGACTGGTGTTGCATGGTGTTAAGAACTGTGTGCCGCATTGTTCCAGTATCAAGTTCTCAGCACGGCAGGAAGTATGAGAGATATAGGAAAACAGAAACTTTAGGGGTATAGATTTTGCTTTCTGCAACACTAACGGTGTGAATTTCTTAAAGAATCTGTACAACCCTCATAAATATTTACCTGGTGATTCATGTTTATAGTTTGAGGCTGAGTACAGTGTGCATGCCCCTGCATTTATAATCGCTTATGTGAACATGTGCATAAACCAGAGGTACAGGATGTAATCAAACCTCAAACACACGCCTAAGCCCGGGCTCAGGGTGCAATGAGAGACACTTAAGCGCAGGGGCATAAATCTTTTAAACCCTGAGCCACTGACATTTCCCCCCAGAGATACAGCGAAATATCTTAATTACGCCACTTAACATCACATCGGCGACTCCCGGGTGAGCCCAAGCAAGCATATAATTCATTGTACTGAGTATCGGTAAAAGCCAAATACATAAACCTTCAAGGATGCATGCTCAAGTGCATCGTAGACTGTGAGCTGGGACTTCAAAAGCAAATGTTTTCTTTCAGGAGCCAGAGGGGGGTAGAACAGAGGCTAACTGTAGAGTTAGTGTGACAGGAGGCAGGGCCCCTAAAGCTGTCATCATGACGTGGTGTATTCATGAATGGGTCTTTCTGGTTTTAGTCCCTTCCCCTGATGGTTTAGTTTTATGCTCCCAAGGCCCCCTACACTGATAGAAGACCATGAGAGCTGAGCATCCTACACAGGCTCCAGTACATGGCCCTTAAACTCAGCAACAGCCTTTATTATTATCATTACTCACATAACAGCAGGTTGTCCGCATAGGCTAATAGGGCCATTTGTGTGGACTTTGCCATCATGAAAAGCATGAGAAGAATGGAAATTGGTTCATAGGGTGATGTAATACTACGGCAACAAAGTGAAAGAAACAAAGAAATTAATATTCCAGTTAAGGCCTGTGAACAATATGGCCTATATCTCTTTACATGTAATAACTAATTAATACAATTCACTGATGTTCTTCCTCTCTACCATAACAGCAGATTCTATTGAAATGATATATGAACTGCTAATAAACCACAATGCTTTTAAAATGTGGCCTCTGATATTCCTGAAATCTTTACATTGAGGGTCTGCTGCTGTTTTCATGCCACAAAACCACCAAAACAAAACCCACATTAGACCATGTGGATTCCCATTGGATGCAGTTCTGCCCCATAAATCAGCTAGTGACAGTGGTGCAGCCAGTGGTTCATCATCTAAATTATATGCACATCTCCTCGGGACAAGTGTTAGAATTATACATAAGCAGTGTTAGAGGGGCATGTTATTAAAATTCATCGTCATTTTTACACCTCCTCAAACTGGGGGTTATGTGCAGCATACTGAAGTTGTAGTTAAAAAAAAAATATATCTATAAATCTCCATTTTTGCTTAGGGACCCCTTTTTAAAAACCTCCTAAAGGACCCACTTTAAGACCCACTACCCCTGACGGACTACAGCAAAGCAGGGTGAATGAATGAGGTGCAACAAGCTGTAACGACCGGTGGCTTATGGCTTCCCTCTTGGCTCCACTTTGCAGCGCTCTACCCCCACCTGCCGTTGTGCGCCAGGAAGCCAGTGTGACCCCACTGCAAAAAATATCCATCTAACAACTCTTCTCTTTAGTTTGTAAGTCTTCAGAGCTTCTGTTTGTTTCTAACAAGAGGAAGTATCGCCCGAGGGACAAGATAACCCGCGTCGTCCTCGATGCAAATGTGTTTTTTTAAATACAGAAGCCGGCCTTAAATACATGTAAACTGACACTGAAAGAGATACAATAAAAAAAAAATATTTTTCACTTCAAGAAATGAATTGCTAGTAAGTGTGAAGCTAAAGGAGTTGGCTATTTTTATTTTATTTATTTTTTTCGCAGTGCACGCGGGGCTTAGCCAGCGGTGGCACGGCGCGCGCCTCGCGGACCAGGACACAGTCAAGAAACATACACGAGAAGAAAAAAGGCGACTGCGTGAACGAGCTCAACTGTGTCATCCAGCGGTGGTCATTTAAGTAACATCTGTGTGTCACCTCCGCGCGCGCACACAGACAATCAACGCCAAACCAGGTGCACGCGACGCCAGAGCCAATTAACGGCGAACTGTCTGTGGCTCTTATTGGCCCAAACTTTCCGACTGTATGACCGCATCACGGGCCCCATATCGCCACGCACGCCCTGCGCACGAGATGCAGACACTGAGGGAAGATGTCACCGTGAAATCTTCCATCCACAGTGTGTTTCTGCGGGACTGGAGAGTGGGGAGGAGGAAGGCGGTGGTCCAAACAATTCACCAATAATGCAATTCAAATTCATGTCTCCGTGTAAGATGCCAGTTTAAGTTTGTTTTTGTTTTTTTTACGATTAAAACCAGCTCTTTGTGAATAACACCCATACAGCACAACAGCGCAGCAGCACCCCGGGGGCTGCTCTTAAAGATTCAAAAACTCATCAACAAGGACGAGCCATGTTACATGACGAAGATAACAGTCTTCGCCCGGGGAGTATAGAGTGTATCTCAACAGCTCACCCACCCTAAAAATAAATAAATAAATAAATAAAAGGACCCCCATCATAATCCTCCTTTTCAGTAAGAAAGCATTCTGGCCCCTGCAAGACGTGCCTCAACTACAAAACAACGTCCAGTTAAACAATCCACCCCTCTCTCCCTCTCCCTCTCTCTCCTCCAGCTCTCTCCCTTGCCTGCTGCTGCAGATCACGATGGTTGAAATACACTCAACTTGTCCACAAAGTCACCAAGCTCGAGGAGTTTTCACGGGCTCAACGCACGCGTGCTTACCTTGGCTGCCGCAGACGAGCACCCCGAGGAGATGGACGAGTTTGAGCATCATTTTGGGGCAGGTTTCGCGCCGCCGGACGCTGCTTTCGGCTGCTGTAATAAACGACCAAGGGCGACACACACGCTCGGCTCCGTTCATCCACCGTCTTGGGCTCCGCTGGCGACTGATCTGCCTCAGCTCCTTCCTTCCCTTCCTTCCTATACGCGCGCTCCCGCTCGCCGCTCGTTCACCGCGCTGGCTCTGCGCTGACGACCCCCCCAGCATCACTTCTCTCCAGCCTCACTGCTGGAAGCTGTTGATGAGAAGCAGACACCAATTAGAAGAAGGAAACAAAATTAAAGCAAACATGTTTGTGTTCTGCGAGTGACTTTGTGGGTTATTTAAAACATGGTGTAAAGTTTAAAGGGGGATTTCTAGAAGTACAGTGGGCTATTAGCAGGGGTGTAGCTGGGAATTCTGGGGACCGAGTTAATATTTTTGGGGTCCCATCCAACTGTGGGCCCCTTGAATCCACCACGTAGCAATCGCAGTGCATATTTATCTCAGAAGTCTAAGCAAACATGCAAAGTAAGAAAAATGTTGCCCCATGTGAACAAAGGACCTCACGACAAGAACATTTTCGCACCCTCAACTTCTCGTACTTTGTTTTGTTTTGTTTTGTTGATGTTGTTGATAAGAATTGTCCAAGTCAGATTCACTAAACTATTTTAACTGCACAAACTTGTCAAAATGATGAATAAGCGTGTTTGTTAGCATCGCCCCTAAAATTGCCCTACAAGGCTACTTGTTCAGCTCCACGTGTGCGAGCTTCATTCGCAAATTTAAACCAAAGACCAAGACTTTTGGTCACAAGGTGACATTGATTCGTTGTTTACATTGTACACCATTTAGTTCAATACATAGTCACTGAAGAAGAAAATGGTCAGTTAGCACGAGGGTTAAAGTTAGTGTCAAAATGCAGCATCCTTTCCAAATTGTGACACATTAAAGAGTGAAAATTCAGAAACAAGACTCCAAATGAAAGCTAATTTTGTTCCGCAGGTTTAAACATTAGAGCACATTTTACATTTCTTAGATTTGTAGAATTCTTAAAATGTAGTTCCAAGCTACATCGTCTTAAAAGTGTGTGTAACATTTAGGATGATCTGTTGGCAGAAATAGAATCAAATATTGTTTTCATTTGTGTAAAATCACCTGAAAAGGAAAACTTTCATTACCCTTGAATGATTAATTTTTGCCTACAGAGGTCTTCTTCCAACGGACAAATCAAACACTGGCTCTAGATAGGGCCTTTTTGTGTTTTTTGAGAGTTTTACAGGCCCTGTAGTTTCTCTTACCAGCCTTTAACGGGAGGGTGAGGCGAGGGTGGTGCAACTATACTGCTAGATGCCACTACATTTTATACACTGGACCTTTAAAATTCGCCATCTAAGAAGAATCTTGGAAAGATTGCCAGTCCATAACGGAGCTAACGTACAGACAAACAAACTCCAATTCATATGTCACCATTTTAGCCTTCATTGTCTGTCTGACATTGGATAGAAAACTCCCTGAGAAAATGTTGAACTACACAGATCATGAACAAGTAACTAGTCAAGAGAAAGGAAATAATACTTGTTTTGATCGATGACAGAATAACGACATCTGACTCCATCTAAAATAATTAACACAACTTAAAATGGTCAATGTTCACCAGTCCTCTCATGAGCCAAACTTGGATTGGTAGAGGCAGTGATTATCACCTCACATGGAGTCAACGTAAGAGCTCTCAGCCTTGCAAGCACCCCTGTTGGGAGCAAATGAAGTGATGAATTAAAACTGACAAAACACTGATCCACCTCGCCAAGGAAAGAGAAATGAAACTGGATATTGAAATCTATGGGGTCCTCAGGTGGGAGTATTATAGCGAGTAATGTCGATGTGTGCTTGGAGCGGACCTACTAAGTTGATTGAAATGGGACAACCCAAACAAACACCTCTTTGTGAGCCAGAAAAATCCCTCCAAATGTAGTCAGAATCACTTGTTGATGTCTGAGCTAACAACACATTTGATTGTTGGGTCGACTTCAATCCGCAGTGCTCTCTCCAAGTATCATTTCAGGACAGCAGCTCAGTTTTTGGCCCATGACTCGAGACCCATATTGCTGTGCTCTTGACGGACATGTGTCAAAAGGGCTCCATGGCTGTAATTCCCCATAGTCGCCCGACAGACTGATGCAATGAAGGTAACAGCGGCAGATAAGGGAAAGTCACAACCTGCCTAACAGCCATCTAGAGGTGAGTTGTTGGCTCACAGGATATTGTTACGGTGCAATTTGTGTGGAGTGGAAACTTGGAAATGGTGTGAAAGTGTAGAGCAACAATTATTTCTCAGTGAGGCCTGTCTGGAAAGTCGCAATGGTAGGACGGATTTAGCTTAAATTACACCAATCAATCTCTAATCGATGCAATTACTTACAGTCCATTGTTACTTTTTAACTCAGAATATGGATTTCTTCTTATACGGCTGCGTTATTGCACTAATGTTCTTCCTGTCTCTCCTTTACTGAAAGGTAAGGATTATTATAGAAGAATATGAACTGCAAAGTTTTCTTCTTCAGGAAGTGTGAAATCCACATCCGTTCTCTCTGTGACAACTGTCCCCGATGGAATGAAAGCAAATTTATGGTTTTAACTGTTTTAACAGCTTGGCTCCTTGAGTCATCGAAATAGCGAAGTTTAAGTTCTTTTCTGCCTGTTAATGTGAAATGTCTACCTGCCCTTTAACAGGATGGCGAAGGTGCAAAAAGACCTTGTAATGCAGAATAATCCAACCAATGTGTGAAATACTCTTGACATTAACTATTCGGCATTTCTAAAAATTCTTCTAATTCTTTAAAGAGAAAAGAAGTCCTGCCTTGGGCATCGTCTCTCCCTTTGGTTCTAAACAGAGCTCTAGATTTGAATTTGTTCGTCTGTTTTTATATTTTTTGTGCGTTTTTAAAGAAAACACTCTTTATGCACCAATTGCATTGCAACCTTCATGGTAAATGGTAAATGGGCTGCACTTATATAGCATTCATGCCATCATAGTGATGGTCAAATGACATTAATGTCAGTCTATAAAGCATGGCCCATCAGCAAAAAACTATAATTTGCATCATTACATTGCTTTAAAAAGACACACTTTCCACTTGCTTTAAATGAATAATAATCACTGCTGTCAGGGTATGTTCAACTGTATTTCAAGTTCACAGTCCATTTCACAGCAAACATGTTCCTGTTATGGACCCGAAACTTCACTGTTGCAAAGTGTTGCATAATGCAGCTTCCTTTGTGCTGGGGGGGAAAAAAAGACTAAGTGTTTTGCGCCAGTAGAAGAACTTGTGGCCTGTCTTGAAGTCAGTCTGTCAGTGATCGCTCCGTCATCACCGCTGTCACCCGAGCGAGCCTGTTGCCTTAGCAACCAAGTTAAATGGCTGTATTGAAGAGTGGGCCTCGCACTGGAGTAATATGCACAGATAATTCATTGTTGGGGTCTTAGTAGGGCTTAAACAAATTAAGACGTCATCCCCCTGATGAGCAATGAAGACGCATTATTACTTTAAGTTTACATTTCAAAGCTTTAAAGTTTGATGTCTGATTGTAACGCCTACATCGGGAAAAGAGCTGCAATTTTTCAGGCTATGAAGCCACTGTGGCAAAATGCAATGTCTGATGTCAACGCCGTGTGATCCATAGTCTTCCCTTGATTTTATTGCGTGGGGGACAAATAGCTTTCATCACCTTAGCTCAGAACAAATGTGCATTGCCTGCGTACTCACAAGTCTTGTCAACACTGTAGTACCCCTACGCTTACTATGACCTCTGCAGAACATCGCAACAAATTCTAAGTCCATTAATATCTTCCACAGCTAGTCACAGTTGTGCAAAGGAAGTACATTTACTCAAGCACTGCACACGTTATATTTCTACTCTGTTACATTTCAGAAAAACTTATTTGAGAGCTAAAGTTTATAGTTTTGATTTTACATACAAAACACATGACCAGCTTATAAAATATGACATTAAGCACAATGCGTGCTTTTAACTACCAGTGTATACTGTATAGTTACTGTACTATACTGTATGTAATTAGTTTCACCTCGACCAGCTGCTGCTGTAATGAGCACTTTTACATTAGATTTTTACATTAAGTATTTTTACACTAAGTATATTTGACGACGGGGGAATGAGACGAATAAACCAATAAACTTCCTCCAGAACGACTGACCCCACCTTTAAGTAAAATTTGAAGTTACTTTACTTGAGAATTTCCCTTTGCTTTACTCTTCCAGTCCACTACATTTCAGAGAGAATTGTTGCGCTTTTTACTCCACTACATTTATCTGAAAGCTTCACTTTCACTTCATTCTGCTGCAATTACAGGAGACTTTAAAAAATACATATGAAGAAAAATGTGACAGGTCTTTTACCAATTCGACTGGTCCTTCCATGGAAGTCAAATACAATACATATAATTCAAAGTCAAATAAAAAATCTCATATCATGGTCTTCCTTCTGGGACTTGACACACATGCAGTAGTATTAACTTGTAGTATGGCGGAAGGACGGTGAGGCCCACCACTCTTAGTGTCTGTCTTTCAAAATATATTAACAGTTTTCTCAGCTCTACAAATCTCCCCAAAGAAAAAGGCGTGTTTTTATACATTCCTATTAAAGTGAGGAGTGAGCGTATGTATGTTGCATGTCAAGTCATCAGCTCCCTCGATAATATGCACCACTGTGTATTACAGCTTTGCACGGGAGTATGAAACAAATGGAGTTATGCACATCATTGCCTAAAGTGTTTTTTCTCTCAAGTGTAAAGAAAACATTGTGTATTTGGTGAAATTGAGGCGGAGAAAAACAAGTAAAAAAAATGCTTGCCTCAGCAACTTCTGAAACACAAACCGCACTTCATATTCAACACAAGAAAAGTGGGATTATTATGATTAATGCGGTGCATGAATGTTTTTAAGCAAATGACAGAGAGCAGAGCTACTGGAACATTGTTGATTCAGAAAAATTACACATTCTTAAATTTGTGTGTGTACAGTAAATGGTCCAAAGTGATGTAGACATAGATAAATTGAATGTCTGTCAGCCTAGAAAGGACTTCCAGATGGTCGTCCCCTTCAGAGCATGCTCAGACCGCCAACCTCAGCACGTTGTCTGATGGAGTCTGAAATTAAACATTACTAAAGTGCAGTGAGTGTCTCACATGTGGGTGCTGGATGGATGTTTATTGGTGCAGCATTGCCC